ATATCAAGTTTTTGCTGATTGAATTATATTAAGTTATCAAATTCTAGAGGAAAGTGGCTCTTTACTTCAGTAAAAGAAATAAAAGCAATTGATACTGAATGGTTTTTACATCAAAAAAAAAATTTACAACAGAATTTGAAAGCAACTGAGCAATTATACTTAAAAAAATTATTTGCCTTAGAGTCAGTGATTACTGTTGAATAATCCCCTTGACCTTGTCTCAGGGATCATTTGACAAAATTCACTTTGCCTTCTGCGAACAATTGTTAAACAGTGAGACAGTGGTCTCCTGTTGGTTGCATCTTATCTACAAGCAGTTCTGCTCTTCTTTTTTTTTTTTTTTTTTACAGTGGGTGGCTTCTGTTGACTTGTTTCCTAATGAAGAAGCACATGCAAATGTGGTTGTTACCAAGACAGACTCATGGACTGAGCAAAATGAAGAGGTGTGTAATATTTGTGTTTAAAAAAAATTTTGTAAAAATATGGCTACTGCATGGGATGGGATGATATTTGAAAGATTAATGGATTTTTAATAAACACAGTATATCACTGATTGTTTTGTACTTTGCAACTTTTAATTAGTTTTCATCTTAACGGTTGAGCATATTAAGATGGTAATGGAATGTGACTTGCATATCATTTAATGCATTTGATGCATTTGTATTTGTTTACAATGTGCAACTCTTAGTTCCTACTTTCCCCAGTCTCCTTTCCTGAGAATATGAAAATAGAACATAGTATAAAAACATTCTTCCAAATACCTGTGTGACATTCTCCACCCTTAAGTGGCAATTGGTTTGTCCATGTACAGTACAAACACTAAGGTGCCTTAATCTAAAGATCAAGCAGCTTGTTATTCATCCATCATCGTTTCTTTGACATCAAATACTTGCCTGCGGCTGTTATTTAACTCTGCATCATCAAAATCAAAATCAAAACACTTTTGGAGTCAGCTGTTGCCTTTCGACATATTACTCACAATGTACAGTTACAGATGCTGGTAATTCATGAATGATTAGTAGTTAGCCACTGTTATGTGCTTGTTCTATTTCTTTTGTGTGGCTTAAGATACTAGGTCATCTTCCCAGTGAGCTTCTTAAATCATTTGATGAAATACGAGGTAGTATCTGAAGCTGAATGTCACAATAAATAACCAGCTTTTGCACAGAACAATAAGAGTAAGACATCCATTGTTTTTTTTTTATCATTACTGATGAGCAGATTCAGCCCAAGGTTGAGGAGATCCTTGATGGTAACAAGTTTGATGCAATAATCTGTGTTGCAGGAGGCTGGGCTGGTGGCAGTGCCAAAAGCAAAGGTGAAGTAAAATCTACATACGCAGACACATGCCACAAGGGCTTTGCCAGTTCCTGCTGTTTGATGCAATTTGGATCATTGTTTCTCAAGTAGAATGTTATTGATTAGTGGTATATTATCAACTCTGTTATTCCTTTATAGCAAAACAATGACCATTCTAAGGCTGCCTTCTTTCAAGTATGATTATCCATTAATAACTCTTAAACCTGGTTGAACACAGTTATAGGTTGGAACATTTGTGCTGAAAAAAATCATTCACCAAATTGTATTGTCCAGTTTGTTTGCTGTAATTATCCTTAACTGTTTGTGGCTTTTCATGTATCAGCTGTTGTCAAGAATGCAGACTTAATGTTCAAGCAGAGTGTTTGGACCTCTCTTATTTCTGCCAGTATCGCTTCTAAGCATTTGAAAGAGTAGGTATCAGACTGTATGTGAACGTTCTGCAAAATGGCAAATGCTATACTTTTTACATAATTATTTCTCCTGTTGCTCTGTTGTTTTTTGGTTTTTTTGTTTTTTCTGGCACTAAGTCTTAATTTTATAACAGTTGACTAGCTCCTCTTACCAAATTTATGTAGTTCTTCTTTGTATCAGATGGAATAAGTAAGAAAAAAATTATTTATTTACTGTGTTAAACTCTAAACGAACACTAGTAGCAAGGTGCATGTCTTCACATTTTTGTGATTAATTTTGACTGACACCACTCTCTTCATTTAAGTTGGGAAAAGGGGATAATCATCAATCAGAGGGAGATATTTGATAATAAACAGATAGTCTCTGATGAACCAGTGGTTATCAAAACTAAAATATAGAATCACAAATTGAATTTATTCAATAATTTGAGGCAAGTAGATCTAAAGATTATGGTCACTGTACTGATGAAAACTTACAAATCAATTGAAAAGTAGTTAACAAGACATAAAAAGTGGTGGTCAGTAGTTTTGCATTTCAACCATTTAATTTATTTTTTCCCTAATTTCAGAAATGGTATGTTGACGTTGACTGGAGCTCAGCCTTCTCTGGGGGCTACACCAGGTAAAACTGCTTCTTTTTGATAATCTTGTATTAATTGGAACTTTTTGAAACAGATACTTTTAGAAAACTTTGCTGTTACAGATGGCATTGCACTAAATTATTGCTACCCATCCCTCCCCCCACTCCCCTCTCAGCCACCTGCTGGACTCAAGGAGGGAGCCACTCATGGATTCCTGAATTCATTGTAGTGTATCTTTAACAGCAGTATGTCATTCTTTTTTTTTTGTGCAAAATCAGCTAACAGGATTAAATTTAAAGTCTACACCTCAATAATGTATTATAAATTAACAGGAATGTTGGGTTATGGTATGGCCAAGGCTGCTGTGCACCAACTTGTCAAAGGACTTGCTGATGAGAAAGGAGGTCTGCCAAGCAATGCTTCTGTTCTGGCTATCTTGCCGTAAGTGTGGATGTGTTAGTTTTTGAGGATTACCCTCATTCCTGGGCTGGTGGGAGACTTCATGTCTTTTCTAGTTGTTAGCACCATGAACTCTGCCATATCGCTCAAGGTATTGAACCTAGTTGGCTCATTGTGATTTATTTTCACAGCACCTCTCTCTGCCTAGGGCTGTTATCAACATACTGTCAAGTAAACCTGACAATATGTTGGCAGGATTGTCTGCAATAGACAACCATCCCATCAAGGAGGAGTGGATGTACTTGTTGTCACTCTCTGGCCTGAGCAGTAGAGGGCTCTTAAAGCCCACTTGGTCTCAGGACCTAAATGTCTAGTAGTTCCTGGACCTAAACATTTCTTACCCAACTACAAGGGAATATGTTCAATGTGCTCATAACAGAACACGTATGTCAGATATTAGAGGGAGTGGTGTTTGCTTGCTCCTTGACTTTTTGTGAAATTTGTTAGAAGGCAGGACTGCAATACCTTTATTATTCTTAGCTTGTGAATGTTTTCCATGTTACACCATACTCTGTTAGTCAAAACCTAGTTCCAACAAAAGCCAGAACATGACACTAGTTCAGATAGAACTCTTTCTTATATCTTCCACATTGGAAATCCCTAAAACTCGTCACAATTTATTATGTAGCGTTCAGTATAAAGCATTGACCAGTTTACATTGGACTTACAGAAGCAACCTGACTTACTCTTCTCTTAACAACAGCATGACATTAGACACACCTGGTAACAGGAAGGGAATGCCTAATGCTGACTTCAATCAATGGACACCCCTTGAATATGTTGCAAAGTAAGTCTATTATTTGATTTTGTTATTAGAGTTTTTTTAAAATACACAATTTTCGCGTCAATCTTTTGATAAAACGCGTTAGATCAGGACAGACAAGAACATAGCTTCTGTAAATCTGCTGTAATAATGTTACTTTTTCTGTTTCGATAACCGAATTGAATTTATTTGTGATAAAAGTAAATTGGTCACCGTAAAGGGTTTCAAAGCTGACGTTCAAGCGTTAGCCCTTTGTCAGAGCGTATGACGAAGGGCTAACGCTCGAAACGTCGGCTATGAAACTCTTTGCAGTGGCTAATTCAGTTGATAATACCAAATTACCGTATTGTTGTCGGTAAACACCGTGCGTTCTCTCTGAGAGCCTTTGTAAGCTAATGTATGTCGTCTTTCTATTCTTGGCAGCTTGTTATTTGAATGGACTCAAGATAGTGATGTTCCACCGAGGGGAAGTTTGGTCAAACTAAAAACCCAAGATGGAATCTCTTCTTATGAAATTCACACCGGCGGACTTCTTTGATAGAACTGTGACATCGCTAACAAAATGATCTTCTTTGATTCCTATGGCAATGAAACAACCGTTTCTACCAAGAGGTACTAAGCAAGGCCGAGCCAGGATAATCATTTAGGGAAATATTTCCAAATTTGTACTGCTATAAGAAAAATTTCACAAGACGGCAGCCTTTCCAGTTTCATAGGAAATTTGTTAGGGTTTACTACTAAGATGTACATTAAAGTGTGGGTCCAGGTTGATCGGTGATTAAAGTTGGGTGAACAGTTCTTACAATTTGTCTTTTCGTATGCATCAATTTTGTGGCCACGAGGGACCGTAAATGGGATCTTACCATTTCATCAGTACTTAAGGTTTCTGTTTTTTCTTAAGATTTATCTGTCAGCCCTTCCTTTGTCAACGTCAAATGCAGTTCAGACGTTCGTTTTTTTTTTAAGAATGAATTTAGACAGCTTTAGTGGCGCAGTTAAATGTGACCTTTTTTTTGTTTGTCTGTTAATTTTTTTTTTATCTGAACAAAATCTCCTTTGATCTTTAACTGATTTTCCTCGGAAGGACAAACAAGGCTTTGCTCGTAGGGTAACTAACGGGATGCCTCTGAAGAAATGGTGCTGCTTTCAGTTGTGGGTTCTACAATGAAACCAATCATGTAAGGACACCTCTATAAAGTGTATACTTGCACCTTTATTCTAAGGTTAGAAGCTCTGCTCTCAGCTGAAGGGAAAAAATACTCCTTCGTGCTTTGCATTTGTTATCATCTTTGATGTAACACGTTTACTGTTCCCGAATCCCGAGGTTATACCCTGCGTGTAGTTACGATGTAAATAACGTATCCATTTCTCAGAAATGTCTATTCATTGTTGCATTACAATGAAAAGGCTTCATGTATTTACAACTCACTCTACGTGTATTTACAACTGACACTTAGACTACCTTAAGCAGTTGTTATTTTAGAATTAATAAACTTTACAACTAGAAACAGCAGATGTTTCAACTGTAAAGTGATACTTAATTGACCATATTACTATTAAGTGATTTCAAAGACAGTCACTCGGTTGTTTATCTCCAACAATACATAGTTACACCGGAAAGTGAACTTATGCGATGAAGGAAAAAACAGACAAGTGACTGTACCACATAGTTGTGACTCGCCGATTCTAATACTCATATTGCCTATAACTATGGCAAGAAAGCCCGTAATCGAGACTGCCATATCTAACATGTATGCCCAAAAACTACAGTGATGTATCTTAGTTATTAGGTAAACGGTTTGCTCTGTCACAGCCTACGTTACATAGTTTAGTAGTTTATTGAAAAGAAGAAGCGAACCTATCCAAAGAGAGTCGTGCGATGATTTCGCTTTGAAACTTTCAACTCGATGCAAGTTTCAGAATATATGTGTTCCTGTTTACTTTGTTTGCTATTAATATCCTTAACTGTTGGTGTCTAACCTTTCCAAACTCCATTAACCCCGTTTTCCCAAATGTGAATTGAACATTGAAATGTCAGTCAAATTTTCAGGTTTGATATCTTTCTAGAAGTCCTGAAAAGCGCCGTTCTAAGAATCGTAGTTATAAATAGGAGTTATTTGAAAACAATCAAGTTTCGGTTTCAAGCGGGAAAATCCCAGCTTCTACTTGGTCACATGAATTGCTACTGATGCTTATCATTTAGAGATTCCGTTCTGTAGAGTAATTTCCAAAAGTGAAAGAAGGTTACATCGAGGTTTGTGTAATTGTGCAAAGTGTGGTCACTTCATCTCCTGAATGTGACAAGTATTTAGTTATATACAAAACTTGAGTCCGAGATATGAAATATAAACCGTCAGCAATCTTTATCAGTTATTGAATTATATTGTGAGCTAGGCTATTTCAGTCTCGCATTTCATCAAACCACGAGTAGCTTGTGTCCACGCGCGTCATTAATAGCCACAGCAATGCGTGCCTCCTTCGTCACACACATCCCTGATACACACCACATCCCTTTTTCTTCCTTATGTTGGATGTATATGTTGCGTTCGAATGTGCCACCTTTGCTGTGTATGGACACTTGTAGGCAATGTTCCGCGTTTAGTGAGGCGACGAACACATGATCCGTTGGCGGAAAACAGAATAGTGCAGCTCCTCTAGGAGAAGTGTTCCCACTTACACGGAACTGATGATAGTGGCTTCCATCTGCATTAAAAGCGTAAATGCAAGAGTTTTGTTGTAACACCATAAAACCTCCATCACTGGTAGCTGTGATGTCAATTGCGTCTTTTAGTTGCTCTCTTCCAAAGCGGTTACGGAAGTGTCCATCACTGCCATACACTTCTACTTCACATGGAGTAGAATAATCGATGAAGGAACTTGGGGTACAGATCACATCTTCCACAAGCACAGCTAACTGATCAGTCTTGTTGTTCACTGCCACAGAGAGAACTCTGTGCCCTCTCTTTTCAAGAACGATGCTGCTTAACACTCCTTGGATGTTAGAAAGGTACCTTGCGTCAGTTGTGTCCACCAAAAGGGACATTCTGCTTTGTTCCGCAGTCGGTTTCACGCACTGAATTTTCAACGTTGCTTGTACACTAATTGACACGACGGAAGAGCAAAATTGATCTTCATCACTATCAAACGTTTTTGTTTCACCGTTCCGGATGTCTAAAAGAATAAACGGTCCTATAGACTTTTCCTTAGTTCTGTATAGAGCAGGTAGTTCGGGGACCTCATTATTCACCTGGAGTTTCTTCAACCTGTTTACAATCCTCGCGTCACGTACAGGGTTAATCTTCTCCTCCTTAATAGTAATGCACGGCCAGTCCAGGAGCGCGGATCTGTGATCACCAACCATATGAGCGATTGCTAACACAGCATGATTAATGCGACAAACACCTGAGATAACTTCGTTACGGTCATTCTTGCTTAGTCGAGACTTGAAGCTCCTCTTGACTCTTTCTTGAAAGGTCTTTTGAACTACCGCCATCGAGTGAAGCTCCTCCAAGTGATATCTACAAAGTGGCAATGCAATGCTTGGGCTGTCTGCATTCTCTAATATTGTAGCCAAAACTAGGTACTCCATGGCCAATATTCGAACAGTCGGACGTAAGGCTTTGTTACTGACGGCCTCGGTTGCTTTCTTGCGAGCATCCTTAAATCTTTTTTTTGCCTCAGACAATGCTTTTTGCGACAATTTGTCAGGATCGGTCAGTTCTGTGCTTTTTATTCCCTCAGGAGACGAAATTGAATTTTGACGCACAGTGATGAGTAGTTCAACGTCATTATTATTCGCCTTTTCCTCAATCTCCATGGCTTCTTCAGTCGTGGATTTTTCCAAAACCACATACATTAGCACGATTCCTTCTTTAAAGTAGTTAATGCTTGCCCCAAGATCCTTCCAAGCTATGGAATCCAACTTTGAATTGACGGCATCGATTTCTCGCACAATCCAATCACGAAACTTTTCATCCGTCACATCTCCATCCTTAAGCTTCTCTGCCAACAGATCACGGCCTTTACTTATAAGAAAGCCAATAGTGGCCTTAAAAACACTATTCAATATTATTCCTGCCATTTCCTCTTCAGAAACTATTGAAGTCTGTACAAAGCGATTGAAATTTCCGTTTGGCACAAGCAGATATTGGAACAGCTAATCACAAGACCTACGGCATCAATCTAAAATAATTCCCCTATTGCATCGTCGCTCGTTTTATCGATGATTTGGGTTTCAAATGCGACTTGCTGAAAATGCACATATTTGTTTAGTAAGGTCATGAAACTCCCATTCTTGACTTCTGCAACATGCCCGTGCAGATAGCGATTGATTCAAGTGGACGAAAAAAGCTACTTTCCAGAAAAAATACCACAAACTTGAGTCGCCCATGAATTCTAAGCTACATTCGATTATTTTGTTTTTCGGTGTGATTCTTTATTCGGTTTGCTGGGGGTGATTTCTAAGTTTGGTGGAAAAAAAAGGAACAAACAGACGCGTGACTGTACCACATAGTTGTGACTCGCCAATATATTGTGACTCGCAATTATTGCACGTAAACAGGGATTAAATAGTCAGTCTGAGACTGCATGTGACTACTGATATAGCACATTTTTTTATGGCTCAAACCAGAAATGAAGGTCTTATAATGACGCTAGAAGGTAGTTTTGTGGGAGATTTGTGTTCACATGCAAAACAGAAAACCTGTTAGATCCCACATATCTATGAGTACCTGTTCCACATGAGAAAGATGATTCAAGAACCATGCAAAGTGCCTAAATGGCATTTAACCAATAATTACATGGCCAAAATTGATCATGCATGTTAACAATAATAATGATAACAATAGAAATACAATAAAATTTTAAAGGGTTAGTTCGAAAGCTTTACGGTTCCCTTATCCTCAAAGCTCTAATAAAAATTAAGCAGTGCTTCTTTTTATTTTCCCAGCTGTTAATTTTGATAAATTTTCTTATTTTATTACAATTCCATTTTTGCAAGATTGTTGTTTCACACACGCCTTTGTGCGTGTTAGGATATTCCGTCATTAAATGTCACATCAAGGACTGAAAAATTGGACTTTTCACCGGGTGTGAAAACTGGATCAACAGCTGACAAACGTTCGAGCTTAAGAGTGTGCAAATCGCTTACTGATGCCTGCGCCATCTGATTTTCCTTAAGAAGCCATTGGCTAAAGGTATTTGCGAGAAAGACAGAGTTATGTGCAAACCACTCATTATACTAATTTTTGAAAGGAAACAAATTTTCTCACTCTAATAGAGGGAGAAAGTATTTCGGTTGGAATCCTTTTAGATAAAAATTTCTTAAATTTTTTCAAAAATTCTTAATTTAACCTAATTCTTGAAGCTAACAAGGTCATACAATGAGGCCTCATTTCTTTTATTTATGGGAGGCTATATGTCTGAACTCTTCGCATATCAGGTCCTGAAATTATAAAAACTGCATCCATTGCTGGTGATCTTACCTTTGACCCGTTGGCCGTCATGTTCAACTTGAAATCAAAGGCGTTTCCCATCTATCAGGCCTGGCCGGTCAGACCGGTCAATTTCAACATGACTGGATGCTGACAAAGATTCCATTAGAACAATTGATAGAGCTTGGGAATTGACTGATCCGGTTAGAAAGTTTCGATAACTAACGAATTTCTCTCAATATTGAATGGAATGATCTGGTCAGCCGGTTTTACATTGGTAATTGTACACGCGTATATATTGAGGGACAGAACTCCAAAAGAAGGTAACGGTATATTTCGAAACTTTACCACATTAAAGGCAGAATTCTAGGACATATTTTTTTATTCCCATACAAACGAAACTGGTCCTTTGAACTTCAAATTCAACAGCTTCCTTCAAGCCTTAGTAACTGTATTATATCTGCGTTAGCAGTTTACGACTTTTAACCGAAGCAGTTTTCGCAAAGCAAACAAGAAGATATGATAAAACCTTTTTCGAAAGCGCGCCATGAACATTGTCCTGTGAACAATGACTGTGAGACAAATAATCTATGGTGGAGTACTGGTGGGGAATTTTTCTCGATAATTTTCATCTTTCACTTTCTGACATATCTCCTGATGTAGCGGCATTGCTCTAGACCAGCCCACAGTTCTTCATTTTCCATCTTATTCTTCGTTTTCAGACTTATTACGCTTTTTTCTTTGAAAGTTTTTTCCTTTAGCGAGTGCAATGGTGGTAAGCTAGCAGGAGGGAGAATTTTAGACAACAGCCTCTCGCGCGCTATATCTTGGCTTTCCATAACGCTTGTTGACTTTTGGTGAAAGAGACTCTTCTTTGCCGAGGCTGCTAGGGAAGTTGACTGTGTTGAGGTGAGCTGATCGCTGTTACTGACTTTGGCACCAAGAAAATGTACGTATGGCGTCTCTCGGCTTGCAAAAATTCGGCTTTCGGTTTTGAGATTTCCTTCGATTGCCAAAATTCTTCTGACACGAGAAAAACCGCTGTAAGAAACAGAGGAAATGTTATTGTAATCGACAC